TGCACTCGGCAAAGATTTTGAAACGTTTCTCAAGAAGACGCTTAAGATGATAGCCAAACATAAAAAGGTTCAGTAAATTCGTGAATTCAAAAAGAGCCATCCGAACCAATGAGTTCAACAGAAAAGTTCAAAAACAAAAAGGTTTCCACAAAAAACGCCATCTAACATTCAATACTGTGAGGTTGATTCCATTCGAATCTCATTGCTAAATTCTAAAATGCATAGCGCAGTACTGGTTGTCGTCCTCAGAACAGATCTGTATTATTACAGGTGAATGAAACATTTCACGCAAAAGATCTCATTGGAGGCTATAAATATTCAGTGGTTGTCACTAAGGATGAAGGTTTCTTTCATTCTGTTCTCACATAAAAACTTAAATTTAAGATCAAACTAGCTTCCAGGTTCAATATTTGTCAGACAAAATGACAAAATGAGATAATAATTCATTGAAGCTATTGATTGGCGTTGGTATGTTTTAAGTGGTGTATTGTCAGTCGCTTTTGCTGATGAGATAGCTGAAAATTATTTTCACAATGAGTTCAATAAATCTCAGTTTTTGAGTTGCAAAAAATTAATTTTCGCATATTTCTTAGTGTAATAACTTTTCAACGATTACAGAGACACCGATGTTGCTTTACATGGAAAATGCCGCACAACAAGCGAGCGCATTATTTAGTGATGCGACCAGTGAACAGTTGTTAGCCGGTGGAGCTGGTCTAATCGCAGATGCTCTCGCTAGACTTTCGATTCCAACCATCCACAATTCACAAATGCCGCATGCTTCTCGAGGATATTTGATCTGTCAAAGCGATCGACTACCGTGGAGTATGGAGGTGATTTCGGTTGATCGCAAACATTTCCCTCGCAAACACTAACAATACTTTTGGTGTTTCTTATTAGTTGATGGCATGCAAATTATTCTGTTTGTGTTCAGAATCACTTATTAGATAGTGCTGCAGTATATTTTGACGATATGCATCTCTTAATCAGTCATGTGTACATCTGTCATCACATTCTATCGAAATGATTTCTTCGAAAATTTCTGTTCCACTCCAAATGTTAATGTTATATTTCTACTGGCATAAATTGAATTGTCACAGGGAATGCATTTCAACGAGCACTTTTGTGGCTCTCCGAAAGTGATCATAAGACAGCTCAAAAAACATGGTGATTTGCCTGAACCATCGGCTGGTTTATTCCCAATTGAAGTTCGGACTCGTGACGAGGGTTTACCCGATTTTGATCAGAAAACCTACTTCAGGTATTGCTTTCCGTTAGATGTATTCATTGACAATTTTCTGTTTTCGCTAACTATCACTCGTTGTATCTGAATTTCATATCCTCTTCACAATTATTATCGTTGTTATTTGAGAGTATTGGATACGGAAAGAATTGGCAAAGCGCTTATTTATGTGCCTGTTTGTGAATCAACACAAAACATTGCAAGAAGGTTGGTTTCTAAAATATTGTTCTTTGATATTTGTTTAAAGTGAATAAAATCGTCTTGATTGCGCTATCATAGCAATTTATGATGCATTTTACCTGGCTGATTGAGACCAATTCCATGAAATCATTGGGCCGAAACGAAGCATTTTGTTCGTCTTTGTTTCGCGATATAAAAAAAGACCACCCAAACTGTTTAGATCATGTTTAATGAATGTGCTAAATAAATAGCAGGGATATTCAATGGAATATAGTTTTTGTTTGATATTCAAAGTATTGAATGAAAAAATTGAATTTCACAAGTTTAAAAAATAAGATGAATTAATTCAAATAAAGTGATCAACTCCTTTCCCCTTCCCTCTTAATATGGATGGATATATCTCCATTAGCGGTTGATTTTTGAATGCTTAGAAATTCTGAATTTAAAATGTTCCTGTTGTGCGTATTTTTGTTTCGTTTTAATCGATCATAGTATGTAAGGTGAGGTGAAATGAATTGATAAATTGATTTTTGCAGTTTGGCTGTAGGCATGCCAAAAGAGCCAGTTGTTGTGATTGCGCGTCAACAAACAAAGGGAAAGGGTAAGTAAAAACGCGAATCCAAATGTATATAATATTGTTTTTTAGCTGCACGCATTACTATCCGTTAAGATTGATTGCATGGATTGTTTGCTTCACTGATTTATTTCGTTTTCAAGTGAAATTTTCTAATTGATGTCAAATGCAAATTTTAAGCATTATACTCATTTCAGGTCGTTCTGGTAATCAATGGTTGAGTCCACCCGGTTGCGCAATGTTCTCGTTCAATTTTTTCATCCCTTCAAATACGAACCTTGCTGATAATGTGGGCTTTATTCAGCATATATTATGCGTCGCAATGGTGGATGGTGTTTGTTCGTTACATGATTTGAAAGTTAGCATCACGTAATTTTGTTATTGCTACTAAAAGTATTGTTTTCTTGAAATGAAGAGCAACCTTAAGGATTTTCCACTAAGAATTAAATGGCCGAATGATATCTACTATGGGCGAACGTATAAAATGGGTGGTTTACTGGTAAACGCATCAACGCGCGATGAGCACATCATATGCACTTTAGGTAAGCAGCAGTTTTTGATGGTGTGTCTTTTTGGGTTGGCTTTAGACGAGCACTTATCCTACATAATGAATGCATATATAATGTAGTAATCAAGTGTGAATTCACCCTATCACCAGTGTTAATTAATTTTTGGAGATTTCAAAAGAAAATGGACAAATATTCCGTGTTTTTCAAATGAAACGAAAACTTAAAGCGCCCTCAAATACGTCCACAAGAAGGCGCTAGTGTCTACGTTGGGGAACACTGGGATATAAAAAGTAACAAATCTGAAAATAATTTAAGGTGCTGGTTTGAATGTGGCGAACAGCAAACCGACAGTTTGTATAAATGATATGTTGCCGGTTGATAGTGGCACTGAAGTGACTGTCGAGGAGTTTATCGCAAATACGCTCAACAAATTCGAATGTTTGTTTCGTTTTTCATTTGCAGTGATCGCTCGCTGGCATTCATTTAAGATTTTTCTTGAATTGAAACAAGTCATAGTGGCCGTGCGTAACAGTCAGTGTTTATTTTCATGTCGCACTTCTTTCGGTTTAGGTTGATTAGTTTCAGTTTATGTGAATGTATTTCAAACCGAAGGTCGATCAGCATTTCTGAAATACTATTATGATTATTGGTTGCACAGGTAAACATTTTTTATAATTCGCATATTAAAACGATATTATAATTTTATGTTATCACATACGTCAGCTAACCGAGTAAGACCATTCGTGTTTGATCTAGAAAAGCAAATGATTCTGTTCATTTGTTAAATTTTTCGATCATTTCATAGCTGCGGTTGCCCAAAAAGATTAGTGCATATAAGCGATAGGTTTCGAAATTGTCATATTAAGTGTTCAATTGATTATATTGATAAAATTGATATTGTTTTATATAGTTTTTAAGCGTTTTTTTTGGTGGGATTTTTTTCGGTTATCACTTCACTATTATAAGCGATTAGCTGAGTTTAGTTTGGGATGATATACGCATTAAAAATGATGAAGTGTTGAATTCAGCCGCGAAGAAGTGACACTCGCAAAAACAAACGAGAAGGTTGTGGTGAGAGGGTTGGATGAGCATGGCTTTCTCGAGGTGCGTAGCAGGCAGAGTGGACGTGTGATGACCGTGCACCCGGACGGCAATACGTTCGATATGATGAAAGGATTGATTTCAGTTAAACTATAAATAGAATTAAGAAATGCTTCTTTAGATTCACGGCCCGAATAGATCGATTTCATTTTTTTACTTATTATACTTGCATTTACTGCTGAATCATATCGAACCCGTAGATCTCATATAATTATGAATTTCTATTGTTATTATTTTTATTGTTGGGATGTGGAGGATTTTTATTCAACATGCTGACTTTACCCGATTCCTTTGTTCTCCTCATTTGCTTACGATCTCCACAAATTGAGCATGATTTGTGGAGAGGGATGGCAGATGTTCCACAAACTATTATTTTTGTTGTTCCTAGTATCACTTGATCAATTATCGAGTAATGATTGAACAGTTGAATTGAATATAATGATGAACGATTCAGTATTCACCAGAAATTGAAACATTGAGAAGGGAAGAAAATAAGATTAAAAGTTAAATGGAAGGGCTTATTTTTTGGTTGTTTCAATTTACTTTTTTTAGTCTTCAATTGCTCAGATTGTCTTTGACATTTCTTTTCTTCGTATGATTTTTGTAATTTTTTTCTTGATTTTTTTCTGATGACTTGATTTTTGTTCCTTTTTTAAAGTCTGACCGATTCAAGTGATTACTCACATCCAAACCGCTGATATCGATCGCTCAGCTTGTAGTTTGCTTGCTTCATGATTTTAAAAAAGCGTTTTTCTTCCTTTTTTTTTTCAGCTGAATGCCACATAAAATGAATTGAAATTGTCGTTTTTCCTAAAAGTGATATTCGTTAAACATCAATTCATTATGATGATTTCAAGCATTGTTTAGTTGATTCGAGTCGTTTTCATTTGGTTAGTTGGTGATTCGGTTTGTGATAAATACATTTGCGTTGCTTGTGGTTGATCTTCTTGTTATCACAATGATCGTATAGAAATATCAGTAAAAATCCTTTCAAAGCACTGCTCTAAGAATTTTTGTTTCGTCATAAAACATTGATATCGTAATTTGTTTTTCTATTCTCCTCTTTTTATTCATCCGTTCATTTTTCGCTTTTTTGTATCCTGTTAAAGAACGAATTCTTCAATTTTCACTAAATGGAAATTCAACAATCCGCATCAGATGAAAATATTTTCGGGTTATTATTATTATTATTATTATTATTATTATTATTACATTGTATTTCATAATTACTTTTTATTTGGAATTGTTACATAGTTCAGAATTGCTACATGTCCGTTCTATTAAGGCAATTTGAAAACAACTGATACTTGGTTTGTAAGAAAATAATAGCATAAAATTTAGCGGTTTTGTTGTTCGGTTATTCGTAAAATGAAGTGATCATTTTGAGTTGTTTTGCTTGTACGATTACAATGAATATTTACGGAACGAATGTATACTCGCTGTTTGTGTTGCAGTTGTGGGCACTGACTCAGTCCATTTGAACCTTTATTCATTCTCTTGACAACAACATGATATTCAAACTCGTCAGTGATTTTCCCTTCTGCCTGCTGATTGCTCTCGTTTATTGATATAATCTCATCAGTCGTTTTTTCTTGCTAACCATTATATGAAAGTGACATGCGAATATGATTGAGAATAAAGCGAAGGTTAGTTTTATTTCGTCACTTTTCTGTATGGATAATGCAAATTTTTTTCGGCCCAAGTCAAATAGCGCCATTTTCACGCTGTAACTTTTGTTTTTCATAGATATATGTGGAAGCGAAGTTGGTCGAAAGTGGCTAACCATTAGTCACTGGTAATCGTTGGACCGCAGTGGCATATAATTCCTGTGGGACGACAAAAATTCAAACTTCAATCGATGTGACTCTGCATTGTTTCATTATCGTTTGTGACCAGGAGGTGACTAATCTGTTGTACTGATGCGTGGAATATCAGTTGATCATTATTGGTCTTCACAAGTATCGCTGAAATAACTGATTGCTACGTGATTTGTCAGCAGTTTCTTTCATCCAATGTGCAAAATGTTTCTTGAATTCCTTATTGTTATTCTTTATCAATAGATATCAGTGTTACATTATTATTCCAAGTATTTTAATAAATATAGGTGAAAGTTGTTCTGAAGGAATTTGTCGACTTGTTGAATACTTAATGCTAAACGATTGCTTTTATTTTCAGAGTATTCATCGAGGAATTTTGTGGTCCAGTGTTGAGCCACAAAAAACCAGATGATTTTTATGCAATGATATTACGCGCTCTTCTTTGATTTTATGCGATACAACATTCAAAAGCATCCAATTTTTAATTCTTGAACTGTTATTGAAAGCCAAACACTTTTGCATATCCATAATCGAAAGATGCTACATTTGAATGACCGTTAGTCCAGAATTTTTTCCTCTTTTATGATGAACCAGCCGGCATTGCATTCCATCGGTCAGTTAGTGGGTCATTTCCTGGCTAGATTTTTTGAAAACGTTTTCTGATGTCAACGTTGTCTTCTGAAGCCCATTTGACGAAAGCATCATACTTTATTGCAACACTGTGAAGCTGATTGATTTTTGTATTCGTATGTTTATGGTATATCGATACAAATTCACTACTGTTATCGTTATTATTATGCATATTGTAATAATAATAATTATTATCATTATTCTTGTTATTATTAACATTATGGATTTGTTATTAGAGCTTTTTGAGAACATTTTTATGGCTTTTTGATCAGTTTGTCGAATGTATGCAAATATGCTTAGAAGATATGAACAGCTTGTGTGACAATGATTTCTAATTAATGAGTCTTTGTGCGCATTTCATTCGGTAATCGTCTATAATAAATGATTTTTCTTCAATGGCTGTACGCATAAAATCTTTTCTTATATACCTTACTTCACTATTTTTGTTGTGTTGTTGATGACACTTCACTGTTGATCTAAAATCATTGTGATTTACCGCTGAGATCGGTTCCGATTAGACGTTTATGAAAATCGAAACAAGGATACCCGTTTCATTCATATCTGGCTAACAAAAAATTTCTTCGGTGATACTCCTGGTCAAAATTTTTTACTCCGCTCGTTTGCACTTTATCAACGAATCCGATAGCTAATGATGTGTTGGAAAAATAAGACGTTGTTCATCAAGAGTTCCAGCCATTGGTTGAGTACTGTTCTCCAACTCACGGGTCAATATTTTACAGGTAGGTTCACGTGGTCATATGAGATGATCGTGAACTTAAGATCACATATTCGCAGACACTTTTCCAATTTTTGACGTCAGTCAGCGGATTATCACAATCAAGCAGTTCCTGGATGAATCAATCCTAGATTACGAACAAATCCAGCCCTCACTTGCGTCACATATTTCTACTATCATTTTTGCACTTACCTTGTTGATATTTTTTCACAAATCGCATTTGACACTTCTCAGTCGATAAAATTGGACACTTCCAAATATCGCGTCAACACTTTTCAGGGATCTGTGGATTCGAGTTTACTATCAAAAAGGGAGAACACCTTTCTTTCGTTTGCGATCGAGAGCGGGGCGCCTAATCTCAGGCGGAGTTAGGAGTTCTAGGGAATGCCGGATGAATCAACCATCCTAGATTCATCTTCCCAAGATTCTCTGCTGAAGAGCCTTTTTCTCTCTCGGAAAACCCCTCTATCCTTTCCCTCACGTGTGATGCCCTCTCATGCCCATAAAGCTCCTCAAAAACCGAACAAATCAAGGGAACTCCTCTCTGTATGAAAGACCTCTTTCCCCGTCCGGAGAAACTCCATACTCTTGCACAATATGAATGAATTCAACTTTCGAAGGAGCGATTTTATATACACTTGATACAAGTGCGTATTGTGTTGGTGTCGTTTGAGAACAGAGTGTCGTATTGATGTTCTACATCTCCAGTAGAGGATTATCCCGAACGCAGGGTAAAGTCCATGATGGGTTCAGCACAATTTTTGAAGTCCGTTTCCAGTGCAGGAACATCTGTAGTTATGATGTGTAGAATACACGGAGACCAGAAATCGAATAAGCGGTGTTGATTTGAAGGATGGATGAAGAGCTGTTATCACTTGTTTCTCGGAATGCGCTCATCGATGAAATATTCGTTGAAGATGTTCATGCAAACGCATATCCAGCTGCTACTATCAGAAGAATTCCAACTGATTCATCACGTACGCCCTTCGTCAATCCTCATCCTCGGAGTCGATATTTGCCAACTAATTTTTCAAACACAAAAGTAAGTTTTATGGCCATGTTCATTTCGTACTATTTCATCAAAATATGCTTCCGGCTGCCCTCTTTGTTAAAATTGGTTTCATTTCATTTCGTTTTCTTCGTTGAGACTGCTATTTGATCACTGTTCTGTGAGGAAAATTATTTCATTAATCGTTCAGAGAAAGCAAATTTGACCCGAAAATGTTCCAACGTTCCTGAAAGTAATGATTTTTATTGGGAAATTGGAAAGTTCAAGCGCCAATCTATTCATTTAGGCTCATTATGAATTGCTCACTTAATGGAATGGAGTCTTAACAATGAGAATGTTTAGTTATACTGATATTGAACAGAAGATTTTACAAATATTTTATAAGCGACCACCGTATAAGATGCTGAATTTTTGATGAAAGGTTTAGGGTACTTATATTGTTACAACAACGTGACTCGATTTTATTTAAGTTATCCTGAATTAACATTCGCACTTCAGGTCAGTCTGCAGTCGTTTTAGGTGATTGAAATCAAGTTCGAGATACAGCAGTAGTATCTGCATAATCTCAACCATTTTTCAATTCAGCAAATTTAGAAATACACAAGTGTTACGTTTTCAATTCGTTCTTTTTGAATCAGTGCATCTATAGTTTAAAAAAGTCGTGCACGGAATAGCATTTCAAAATCTGGAAATAAAGCAACGATGTTGCAGCAAAAGTAACATTCACATATCGCGTCAGCAATTAAATTTTGTCTAAGAATATCTTTATTTTTTCAGTGAACAACTTCAACGGATTATTTGCTTAAGTTGCTTATGTCTGAAATAAAAGGAAACAGTACGCATTCCTCGTCAACATTTCTTTCAAGAATCTTAGTGGTTTCAGACTCATTGAGATTTTGAATTATCTGACGCCATGTCCAATGAAATTCCAGAATTTTTTCCGAACATAAATCCCGGGATCCTGTGTAAGTACTTTGTAAGTACAACAATTTCAGTGCCGGATTTAGAACCCGAAGAACTTATCTCTAGTTTAATTCAATATTTTTTCGATGTTGTTGATGAATCGAGAAATAGGTGTGATGATGTAATGCAGGAAATGAATATGGTCGATAAAAGATGTGCTTCAAATTTGGTTGGGGATGACGTGACGTATGCAGAGCAACAGCAAAGTGAGCGTTATTTTGGCTCATTTGAGCAGTCAGTTGGTGTTGTTGAAGAAGTAAGATCAAACGATGCGAACACTGCACAGCGATCATCCTTCAACTCAGCCTTATCGTTCAATGGTACAAGTTTAGACGAGATTACAAAATCATCACCTCAACAAACTGTTCAAATAACACCCGGTTCAGCTCATACTTTGTATTTTGACTGTTTTTTGTTCTCTTTTGTTTCTTTCCGTTCACATTATTGCCTCAGCATATTCAAAATTGTTCAAATTAGTTGATCCCAAACTTCAGATTTTACTGAAACTCACTCTTTATTAATGGGAACTTCACGCCGACGATAAAATGGGGTACGGTAACTCCTCTGAATCCGTATCGAAAAGTGAGGAAAGAGGGAATTCAGTGACCTAAATTCACCCATCCGAAATCTAATCATACATTCTTCGAAAAAGGGAAACTGGCTTCATTTTTTCACTGATCCAAGATTGGTCAATGTTTCATCAGCTCCTTATCGAGGAATGTTTTGTTAACTTTCAGATGAAGCACCGCAATTAACTTATGAAGGTGAAGTTGATGATGGAGTGGTCGATCAGCGTGATTCTGAATTCGATCGTCATGCTTCGGTATGGTATCTAATATTCGTTGATCCATTACATATTTATGTTTGAACGCTGAAGTGTCTCTAAAACTAGATGCACGTTCCAAAAGTTTCTTTTAGGCGTATGTCTTTTTCCATCGATTAAGGTATCTGCACTTTTTTATACTGTTTTAAATTCAGTGAATTTTAAAAATCTAGTTTTGGCACGTCATCCTATGCGAAACTATCAGTATCCATTATATTAGACTTTCGAAGTCATGTTTGTAGATTGTCGTAGAGATCGCTTCACAAAAGTTTTATTGAAGACGTTACAAATTTGTACTTTTGAATGTTCTTTGCACGCATGAATCTGTTGAATTCGTCTCACGTTGGCGTATTCATTTTTCAGTTCATCTCTCTCCTGAATTCAGTTAGGTCTGATCTTGATTGTTGTTAATGTGAATTTGAAATGAAAGTATGATGTTGCTATTGGTGTGCTTGATAACAAACAGAAAACTAATGTAAGGAATATAGGCAGTCATAATATTTGCTCTGTCAGTGTAGGTGCAAGGATCGCCATCGAACGAACAACTCGATTCATCGTGTCCTGTGCTTGTTAACGAACGGCAACAAGAGCCGTATGTGATCGTGAGTTTATTGTTCCTATTTGAAATTAGGTACTTCATTTTTGTATTTGTCACACGGAATGAGCGATTTGGTTTTCAATAGGATGCTCATGTGAGTTGTTTATGAAGGAGGAAGCTGAGGTGGCTTCGAAAGATGATCATCAAAAACCGTCCACATCGATGTCCTCATCAGCTTCTGACGGTAAATGGGTCGGTGCTAATCCATTACGGCGCTTCTCGGTTCTAATTGGAAACAAGAAACTAAGCTTCAAAGTTATTGACGCACCACGAACTATACGTCAGTTTTTGTTGTGAAAATTGAACTCGAAGATGAACATTACTAAATACGATTTTCGTTGAACTCACAGCCCAAAGATAAAATCATGTGGTTGCTTTCCTTTCTGTCTTTGACTATTCGCCAATGTGCAAACAACCATTATTTACAAGTAGGAATTTTTTTCGTATTGGCGAACAACGAACGAATGAAATTTATGGGCAACTGAAATGGAAATTAACTGATTTGTTGAAGGCGGAGAACAAGGTACAAGTTTAATGGATCAGTATGGCAGTAACGGTGAACAAAGAAGTAAATGTTTTATTTGTGGTCGGATCTTTCCAAGCAGAGCGGCCTTCAAAGAGCATCAGTTGCAGCATGGAAATTCTAAGCCGAACATATGCTCCTATTGTGGTCGATCATTCATCCATCGTCAGTCACTCACAATGCATGAACGAATTCACACCGGTTAATAATTTCATATCGCTGTTACCGTACTTATAGTATTGTGATCACAGTGCTAGTACCTCTGCTGTGATCTTTCAAGTTGACGATATATATTTACCATTTCTATTTAACATGAAGTTTTAGTGTTTTTTCGTTTGCGTTGAGCATTCATAAAGTGGTAGAAATTTTAAGAATCACACTCAAATATTCCCTGAAATGACGTGTAATTTTCAGAGGTGTTTCTAAGAGAAGTTTCAGGTGAAAAACCATTTCAATGCCCAATCTGCACGAAATGTTTCGCTCGTCAAACTAACTACAATATTCATATGAAATTGCATGCGAGTGGACGAAGATACTTTTGTTCATTTTGCGGCAAATGGTATCGAACAGAACATGAGATGCTTGATCATCAGGTTTGTTGTCTATTTGTGTTATCGACAAACACTTTCCATTTTTCTTTCCTCTGTTTTCATCCTTACTTAAGATTTCGTATTCTTATTAAACGAATAGTGAACTTTACCTCTCAATGGAGTTCGTACCTGTTCCTCAAGTTCTTAATGCTTCATAAATTCAACAAAATATCTGATTTAATGGGTATTCTTACTTGGCATATTATTTGCGTTTATTATGTGTCAGATTACGAAATGATTTAAGATTTCATGTTAATTCCAGCAACAATGTCTAGCACAAATTCATGGTGCTGTTATACATACGGATCGACCATTACGATACCAATGCTCGTATTGTGAGAAGATGTTTCATCATCGAAGAGACAAAGTTCGTTGACTTTCGTTGTCATTTTTCATCTTTTTTCGTGTATGAACAATTTTTTGCGATTCAGTTCTTTTGTTTTCGTTTGAGCAGTGGAGAACGAATTCACTTTGTAGAATATTCATGAAAGAACTCACACGGGCGAAAGGCCATATTCATGCGGTTATTGTGGAAAAGGATTTACACAGTCACAAGCGCTCACCATTCATATAAGAACCCATACTGGAGAAAGGCCCTATACGTGTAGTATTTGTGCCAAAGATTTTCGTGACAGGTTTTTAAAATTCTTATTGCTTTATTTAATCACACTTATTGACCGTTAATCACTCGATTATTGTTGAAATTATTACTCATCACAATCTTCACGTTTACTTAACATTCGTTCTTGATGTGTCCTTCAATTCTGTTATAATTTTCTAAGCTTTCAGTTCGGCTCTGAGGAAACACGAATTTATGAAGCATACGAGTTCTGGTCTGCCGATTACGTACCAAGGTTTGAGTGATTTGATGTTAATGTCTGTGCCTTCTTCGATCAGCAACGAGCCACTGCAATCATCTCTGCAGTAGTCAGTTTATTTTTGTTGTTTCTTAACCAGTCGTTATGTTACATCTTCCATGCTTCATTTTCCCAAACTTCGGAACACTTTATCCGCCTATTATGAGCACATAATCTGAATTTTGTTTCATGTAATTCATTTTATGTTTATCCGTTCGGTCTTTCAACTGTACATTTTATCAACTAGGTATGAAGTCATTCATATGGCGATATCAGGAAGTTATTATGTATATTAATATTGGAATGATTATATACGAATATGGTCATTATTGTGATCGATGATAAATATGAATGTTTCAGTGCTGAATTTTAATGACCTGTTTCTGTACTGAATTCTTCTGCTTCTTACTTGTGCTAGTACCGTTCACAGCACTTCTTATAGATTTGTATTATTCTGGTTATTTTCTTGTATTCATTTACTTTCATATATTATAAGAGTATATCACCCATTATGATGTATACTGTACGCATATTCATCGATAGATATACATATACAAGTACGAGCATCTTGCATAAACGAGTTCTCAATGATAAAAGTTGATGACCGTTGAAAAGTATACAAATAATTTTTCGAATGCATTGTTCACGACGAAATGCAATCAACATTTTTATTTACTGTTCACATTTGTAAGTGTATATCTCAAAAGAGTTCACGTGAGCAATCTCAGTTCATAGCATAACAAAATATAATGAAATCAGTCAACAGAAAACGAATTATTTTGACGACTAGATAAACATGTTGCTGACTGTTGGATTGGTTGGTGATGAAGACATGAATCAATATCGGTAAGTGATCTGATAATAAACTGGTCGATTACGATTGAATGCGACCGCATCCGTTGTGTTTTGATCGGTTATCTGCAAGAAGGGTGCATTTATGGATGAGTTTAACAGTGCAAAGGGGATGATTCACTCATCAATCAAAATTCAGAAGACACATGTTGTTCCAGAACTTTGGAAGTTATATTTCCTTTAAGGCAACGCTTCTTAAACTTTTTCTCTCGTGAAGCGACCTCGCTCGACAAATTTTAACACGATTTCCGGTTCTGCATATACGGCTCCGCTATCGTATGCTGTATTATTATGTTCAGAAATTTTCAAGGTTACCTAATATTTCGCGTTTTTGGAGGAGGAGTAACAGTAGAGAAAATATTGTCATCGGATTTATTGTTGATGGGTAAAGCTTATTCAACTAATTTCCGGAGAGATAGAGAGATGTAGCTAATTGATATTTTTAATATCTTATTTCTAGAGATATAGCTGATAGAGATAGAGAATAGCCAGTTCCTTGTTGTAAAGCATTAACGATTTGCATTGCCGAAGGGACATCAGGAATACCGATTTTAAACTTCTTGTGTGTTCATCAACTGCATTATTTTTTGAACTATACAATCAAGTAAATTTTTTACTTTCAGAATACTACATTGTGTATTAAAACTAGGCAGTAAATTATAACACAACTGTTTTTATTAAAGGCACGTGGACTGCTGATTAGCAATAAATTGATGATGCTGACGTCATCAATTTATTGCTAATTCTCACATCAGGTTATATGTTAAGTCCAGATTTTCTTGGTACCTAAATTCCGACATTAGGTCCAGATTTTCTATAGTCAAAAAGCTCTGTTTCTTGTTGTTTTTTTTCATAGTACGGAAGCAGTCGAATTTTTAACTAATTTTCTATGCGAAGTTACATGTTACGCATACTTAAATAACGTTAACGTGGATGTCTTTCTTTTTTTTTGCTGGCTTCGGATAGGTAGTGTGGTTACACTAACTGAGTTCCCACCCACCCCTGTGGCTAAGCAGCTATTTTGTTGGTACTGATGAAGGAGATTGCTGTTCTTATGTCAAAGTTTGGTTCCAGTTTCGAGGTGCAGCTGATATGAGTTCAATTATCATAATGTAACATGCATGTTATTTGAGGTGGAAGATAGAATTAATATAGAAGCGGAATATGAGATGTGAGTAAATGGTATGTGATAAAGGTGAATGTTCACATTTTAGTGCCTGTCGTTTACATGTTCACTCAGGTCATATGGAGACCTCATCAGAACGACGTAAATAACCTTTTAGAAATAGGCCTCATTGACGGGACACATAAATATGAAATTTGATCGATTATGAACGATGGGAGTAGCTTTGTTGGACTGAGAAAGTTATTTGTGAGATATGTTTGTGACGGTTTCTAGGTACTATCCGATGGGAGGGAGACTCACCTATGAGGAAAGCTTATATGTTATCCGCAGATAATGCTCATTTCTTTGGGACTGTTAATTTTCTGACAAGATGTCGTACGTATGTTGACCAGAAATACACTATTGCATATCTCGGGCACCACATTTAAATTCTCTTGGCACTCAGATTTGCACAGTAACATAACGCTTTCTTGGTACCAAAGAAGAGAAGCCTATTCACCTATTGAATGGTGTGTACCTTGTGCATGGATGAATCTTACCTCTCTCGATACAATTAGTTTCCAGAAGATATATCAAACACTTGCGGACCACTAATCTGTTGCTATAATTACACCCCATGTGCTACTCTTATGGTAGCTTGATCCTCAGCCTTACTCAATGACGTGATGGTTTCTCGGTGACGTTGGGTGAAAGAGAGGAACTACGTATTGCCGACGAATATAACTCCTTTCTTTGGACATAGTTGAAAATGCCATATAGCTCGGTGATTCCATTATACGGTCAAAGGCCATAAATTTGATCGTTGTATTGAGCACCAATGCACTGCTTTAAGTATTTTTCGAATGGCATTTTCAAAGACTTGTGGTCCCCAACTTTGCTCAATTAGATGACGCTTTCAGAATCTTAGATAGATAATCGGATAGAACAGAATTCTAACTATCGACATAGCATCTGCGTCTTAGACGTATAATTCATTTTTTAAAGAGACACTTAGTTTTCTGAAGATATGTCAGACACAGGTTGATCATCAATGCATCGTTATGCGCATGTCTTGAACGCCGCATTCAAGGTAACTTGATCCTCAGCTTTCTCCAGTGAGATGACGCTTTCCTGTTACCATCGAATGGAATTGAGCTTCATCTATCAGGAAAGTAGCTATGGATAATTCCTATTCCTTTAGCGATAACTTATTTTCTGGCGGTGTGTCATACGCGTTCTCATCCGAAATGGAATACTCTACGCATATCTTGGGCACCATATTCAAGTTTCCGTAGCACTCAGCTTTACCCAGTAACGTGACGGTTTCTTCATAACTTTGAATGGAGGAGACTCCTAACTATCTGCAAAGTACCTATGTTGTCCATTGATAATTCCTACTCGTTTAGATATAGATTTTTTCTGAAGATGTGTTGTGTTATACAATTGCTGATCATCATAATGTAAGCGATTCTATTGCACCATCAAATTCTACACAGTTGACTAGTACATTGAACAGTTCTGCTCTACCACGGGAGTAATGGCAATGTCATATTCAAGTGACCTGTTCGTTAACAATTGCTAGGCAACCTTATCACTTCTTTAAAATATCAACCAACAGAACTTAATCAACTTTTCCCACTCGTTCTCCTCTTTCGCTATTCCATTTTGCATCTTTATGATTCTCGTTTTGTTCGTTCTATTTTTGTGTGCTCAAAAAACATCACTGGTGTCGAAGAGTTCACGCTCTCAGAGTATATATGTGCAAACCATAATTTAAGAAAGACCGCTTATTGCTTTACAGTAAGATGTAAAATTGCGTTTGCGAAGCGAGTTCAAAAAACGAAAGGCGGTCACTGATGTGTATGAATCAAAAGTTGATGATTGAATACCTGATCAAGACCGAGGACTAATTGTTGGTGTGGTAATATCCAATAAATTGTCTCATTTGATGTGCCCGCTAAGCATTCAATCTGGAATTCTTTTCCAGTATAAGCTTCAGCTGTTGTCATTGAATAGTTACTGTTCACATGTTAAAAGATACTTTTGAAACTTCTCTCCAATGGAGTCAGATTTTCAGATTTTTTCTTCTAACGTTAGTAGATCAATAATGGATCGAATAGGATCATTGAATTTATTTTTGTTGCACAAACTTACCCATATAGGGATGTACCATCTTACACCCATATCACCAGCTTTTGGCACTTGAGTTAAGCAGAACTGCGATGTGATCTTATCATAATCGATGAATACAATCGGATGACTGCCCTGATAAAGCCAACTGGCAAAGAATGCTGAGGCTGAGATGGGCAGATTCTGAAATTGGTGCTATGGCATACGTTTGAGCGTACGTTTTAAATATTTGCTCAATTCAAAATGAATTCGAATCGATTGTCTTTACTGGAAAGTGTCAATGTGTACGAAGTTATCACCTTAGCAATACGGTCGACGATACGTAGAAACGTAGTTGTATTAGCAGATTTCCACTGATTTTTTCGGACGTAATCCCTGAAGATAAGCCGCATTTTATCGGCACCTACCACATCATTCAGAAGACTAACAATAGCAGATCCTTTTCGATATACAATTGATGGAACCACTCCTGATGACCAGTTGCTGCTAACCAACGGTATTGTTGTTACATCGCCAATCACGTCCAGTTCATTCCTGAATATTCATCTATTCAATATTCATCTACCACAATATACACCTTTGCGCTAATATACTACATAATTCCATATTTGTTCAATGTGAATCTCTGCGAAGTTCGACCGTNCGTTCAATGAAAGAGTATTTTGCGTTCTCAGTTTAAGCTACATTCACAATTTTCTACGTCCATCCAAAGAAATGAATGCTTCAAAGTTTGAACGTTGGCTTTTAAAGATTAAATGAAAGTAATAACAACAAAAAAGGAACTGTTTCGATACGGGATTGGATAAGAAACACGTAATCGATTCGGATAACCAAATGTCATCCCACCATTGCTGCAATTCACACTGTCATCTTGATAGTAGCAGATCAGTGTGTTCTTATGAAAATTTTTGCATGCTTGCAAATAGTTATTTAATATAATCGTTTCACAGCACACATTCAATGCAATAGATCAGATTCATTTCGAATATTACGTGGTGATTTATTTGAACGGACATAAATCGAATATTGCGTGCTGTTTGTTATAAGTGCGCACTTCGGAATGTACTCAACCAAATTGAGACTATTAACCCCAATTGAAAGAGTAATTTCATTGAATTGTCAAATAGTTTTTTATAACCCTTGCTGCGTTATTGAACATACCTACCATTGTGACGAGATTACCGAACCTGCAATAAAATAAAAGTTTAAAAATGAAGTAAAATTTGGCATGAACTAAACTTGAGAACAGTGCTTATGAATAGGCTACAAAAAGAATGCTCAGAGAAGCAGCTGACAACTGTGCTATTGTTCAAACGTCAGATGAATGTTAGCAAGGTGTTTCATGACAGAATAACGCCGAATATGTGAATTCGAGAAAATGCCTAAGAAGTTTATTTTTAAAAAGTTTATTTAAGAAGTTTCCTATAAAAATTCATTGCATGGTTGTTCACAGAAATTGTGTAGAACGATTTCTGAAGAGTTTGGATTAGTGGTATTGACTTATCAAGGATTTTCGTAAAATGTGAAAGCATTGAACAGTGCTCATTCAAGAAAAATAGCTTTAATTAAGACACAATTAAGGGAGATGCGTAAGTGATGAGCGAAACTGATTTAAAATGCCACAAAATGAGCTATTTAGAGCATTTGCACAAGCCGTGGAAACGAACCATTGATGAACAAGTTCATGAAAAAGCGTTGATGCAAATGACGTCCAACCGGCCGCCTCTGATTCGTCATCTGCGTTCGATGGCCACAGCTCACATAAAAATTCGCCTAATTCAATGAATGTTTTACCCGTGCAAAAAAAAAGTTCGAAACCCGTGCCATTCCAGTCAGGATTCATTTTGGCTTTGTCATCGACACTACATTTTTAGATATTCTCAAACTAATATCAATGCGAGCTGAATGCACTCCGCTAAAAATTTGTTGGGTAAAAACGGTAGCAAACGTCTTAAGAAATATGGTACCGATTCTTTAATGTTGATTAAACCGAAATTTTCCATTCCATTGATTGTGATCGGCACAACAAGTAGATGCAAACGTGCGCCGGGATCAGCATTCAGATAATTAGTCATTGACATCTGAAAACCGGAATCGACACTCTCAGTTTTTGAGAACGCACTTCAACTGAACGACCATCAATTGCATTGAAAGTGATCATCATCAACAGCTTAGTCAGCCATGGCATCAGCATTGTTTTCCAGCAACTGATTACTATTTGCATTCATAGCAAAATCAAATCATCGCTGTTTTCATTATGCAGTAAAGACTAAAATGAGTGAGTGCTGTAACTAAACGCGATTAAACAATAGTGTGCAACGTATCTGAAAATCAGCTATTTTGGTGATGATTCTTTGTGCAGTTTCGTTCCAGTCTTCAACTTTTGCGAATCTCCATATGCAAATTTGTGAGTCGAACTTATCAACTGAACAGATGGATCTGAAGGAGTGCAAATTTTATGACGATAAACTGTGGGACATTAAAGTGTTTACATCTTACAATTAGGTTCCTAGTGGAATTGACATATTTCTTAACCCTATTTTGAAGTTTACTTTTCCAATCAATTAATTCTACTTTCGCCAAATGAAACAAAATAATGGCACGATTGGAATTGAATTTTTGGTTGAATTATTGGAAAAGGAATTAAATTTTGATTCAGTTAATTTTTGATTCAAAAAAATTAAGATTCAGAAAAAGTCGTCGAAATATCATGATTTAAAATGCATAATTCATAAGTGACAAGTAATTTTGAACGCATTGATGTGGATTCACTGGATTTGTGTGATAATTTTCAAATAGATGTTACTCTGCTCAAAATCATTCATTCAGTTCATATGAACTGTACAATGTCAGAAAGAGATAATCAGAAAGATTCACACAAATCGCCCGACAGTAACTGCCAAAAGATAAGTTGGAATCGGTGGCGTTGCATGGAAATCCCAGATTGTCAAGTGGTCATTCCAACGTTGAACGCTAGCAGCTGTATTTGAAAGGGCCACATATCTGAAAAGATGCTAATGTTATTTGAGGATATGTGTGCTATAAACAATTAATGAGGAATCAATGCTTAGAGAGTATAACAAATATCCAGCTGCAGCTCAGTGTCATGGTTTTAAGTTCGGCTGATACTACATCACTGCGCTCGTAAAATAATTTCACATATTTTGATTGGTATTATAAAAGACGAAAATATGATATGAATTGGAATGAAAATGGAACACAAAAAAAGAAAGCGATACCCCGGAGAAGCAAAATCGTCTTCGAGCCAAAGTTGTAGCTTGAAAATACTTCTCCAACGCGGCTCATCAAAACAAGGGAACAAGCGACGTGCATTCATTGGCTCAAACAAACTACTTGCCCATACACCACGCTCCTGAATCACTTTTTTTTAGCAGTCTTTATAATTTGTTCCATTCAACATCAGTGATCATGATATACCAATTGCAAGTTCATTCGAATGATGTCTTGCAATTGAAAAAAAAATGAAGCAGTAAGGCAAACCCAACATGGAAAATTGGAGAATGAAAATAGCCAACGGTGGCAGTAATTAATGGATGAGATATTGTTTTGCAAATGTAGCATTTCCAAATGAATCTTTTAAATCACTTTCAATTGAATGATACAGTAATTCAC